GAGAAAAGTGGTGCGCGTTGCATTCGATGTCTTACTTTTTTTTCCTTCGTGGGAACCGGGTGCGCATTACAATCGAGGGCGCGGTAGAATCGAGTAATTACGGTATGAAGCTGGAGAGCCCGTGGCGAAGGCTGTAGACAGTGGTGAAAACCACTGTCTTTATCACGCTGTTTATTTCATAATACCCCTAAAGGGTATTATGAAATGAAATGGGGGTATTATGGTTGCCGGTGTCGACTCAAGTCATTCAGGCATGGCCTGATCACAAACACTCACTCGGGCTATGTCGCTGCTCGGGACAACTTTAGTGAGAACTCTCACAAGGCTACAGTCGGCGTGAAGAATGTCGTCGTTCTCGGGCGGATCGCTGTCAGTTGCATCGTCCTGGGTCATTTGCTTATCGCTTGTAAAGCCGGAAGATGGCATGCCCTTACCTTGCGGACGGCTATTACCTGCGTCGACAATGCCGGATGCCCTGGCACCACGAGTCTCTTGTCATCGGTTGCAGAGCGGCGCGATACCATGCCTTTGTGGAGCGAACCTCCATCGCCGTTATGGTCTGCTGAATCAACGACGCTCGCTTGCTGATCACTTGCAGAAACCCGTGATGTCGTGCCATTAGCACGTCCCCCCCCCCCTTTTTTTTACCTTGCCTTTGGCCGATCTGATACACTGAGTGGAATTTTCTCGGTCCTCCAAGCACGTTCGTTGTAGGATCGTGACCTAAGCCAAAATAGTGCCTCAACGATCCAGGTTTTCAAGTACAGCGCCCTAAGCCAATCAGATGATCCCATTTTTGCCACGTGATCAGAAGTGGCCAATGGCAACATTCTACGCCTACTTTCTTTTTTTTTATTTAGAAAGTGGCAAGCTCAGTGTTACTCGACCGAGCAATAAAAAAAGCCAGACACGATAGCTTTTCAACGATACCAAGATGGCCGCGTTGAAGCGGGCCGTTCAAGAGTTACAGGCAGCTGAAATAAGCTCAATTTGTCCACAATTCAAAGGGCGGGGGGCGTTCCAACGCATATTCCATTTACGGTTACGCCGCTGATACGCGGGATTTCGAAACTAAAACTTGCACACAAGTGCCACGATAGTAGATAGAATACCAAAATGACACTCTTGAAAATTTGATTTTTGGGAAAATGATTGGGTCCCAAGAGCCGTGTCTCCCCTTAAGCAAAATGACCATTGTCGCGGGTTTTCCAAAAATCGCTCCCACATTGCTGATTGGATCTCATGGGGCACCCTTTTCGAGTGTACCGTTCCGCGTCTCCCATTGGTTGACATGACCAACGCTTCTTTTTTCCTTTCCCGGACCTCATGGCTCTTCGATCGTGTGTGTGCATGTGTGTTGATTGCACTCATGCATGTTTCTCGACACACAGTGTTTCTACTTTGTGCTGGTAGTTTTGCTATGCCATCAATATCCGAAACCATCCTAGCAACGAGATTTTGGTAGCCGTAAAAAGCTGCCTTGGAACAAGAAGGCGCCCGCTAGAAGTGCACGTTGGGACGAGAGTTTGGTGGAGTCTGTTTGTTAAAACACCTTTAGCTGAGCATTTGCGATCCGCTGCGGTCAGACCTGTGTATGCTAGCGATTTATACCAACTCATAAAGGTAACTTAAGGCGCACGTGCAGAACTATGGTGCAAACATCCAAATGTGGAGCACATCTCTCGCTCCGCTCTCTAGTCGATTCAGCAAAGGGTGAAGATGTGTCCACTTGGTTTTGCGGCGATTTCGCTGCCAAGTTAAATGCGCTCGGTGGTGGTGGAAAACATTTTATTACAGAAAATCTGCAAGAGAGTTGTGGCATATTGCATGTTTGAGTTGCAAGGCCCTATTCCAGGACGCTAGTGGAGTTGGCCGCTGCTCGAGCGCGCCTCACCAAGGAGCGTTGAGCATCCAAGGTGGAGCAGCCGAGCAGGTACTCCTCCCAAGCCTCTCAGTTGGGATGGGGAAAGGGGATTAAAAAGGAAGTGGGTTGCTGGAACACGAAACGACGACGTGGTAGGTGTCTGCCATGACTTGGCAGGTCGAGCAGGTGCTACTGATTTCTGACAAAAAATGCCTGGCGACCGCCGGACTGAAATAGGTGTTTGTGTGGAGGGGGTGTAGTATTCGCTCGTCCGCTTTCTCCAGACCAGGTGTGGGGTCCAGGTAGAGGCGGTGCGAAGCCCAGTGCTAGGACAAAATTTTGCGGAAGTCCGTCAAGTTCGTATTGCCAGATTCCGACTCAGGACATGGCGGGACAATGGCTTGGATGAGATGCATGGGCAGCAGTGTTTGCCGCCTCGTTTTCCGGCAGGCCAGAGTGGCCTGAGGGTCCATACTATATGAATGGGGTCAGGGTTAAAACGCCAAGAGGCTGCCCGAAGTAGGTGAGCTGCCAGCGTGGCGATGGAACCCTGAAGGTATTGCAGTGATGGAGGTGCTGCTCCGAAATTGCTCCAAACGAGGCATGCTGCTCCAAAGTGCAATATTTGCTAGTAACTGCTCGAAACCTGTTCCGAAAGAATGTTGGCAAACTAAAAAAAATAAAGTTGAACCATGGGACCATCTTGTGAGTGAAACCAAAAACAAGCTGTATACACTATCATCCTAGTATGCTACTCAGTGGTGTAAATCTAGAAAAAATTTCAAGGGGTGACACATGGCCATGTGTCCATGGTTTCCAATTCATATTTTTAATATTGGTTGTAAATTTATGTAGGAATTAAATCGTGCTTTCAAATAAAATTTTAAAAAGTGAGCATTGGGTTTTAGCTTGGGCAATTGCATTCGTTTCAGTCTTATTTTTTCACCTTTTTTTTTTATTTGCACTGTTTGTGCAGCTGACGGGTATTTAACACAGGTATGCATTAAATGATAAAAAGCCTTTAAAAAGTTGATTGTGCTATGCATAACTGTTAACTCAATTATATCACGTGCTAAAGCTAAATCTCAAGCCTGAACACCAGAAGAGTCTGGACTCTCTTGACCCACCTCCCACCCATGATTCATGTCAACTATACGGCTTGTATACCAGCTGCATACTAGTGTACAGTGTGTTTAATAACAAATATAATTATTAGGTTCTTAATAAGTGATGTTTTAGACTTCAGAAGTCGTTAGGAAGATGCATTTTCTCTGAAAACACCAATAACAACCCTAACTATGGCATTTTTTTCTGCTTCGAAGACGCTTAAGGCTGCTCAAATGCACTATTTCTTCTGCTCCAGAATATGCTCCAAAAAGCAAACTGCCGCTTCCATCACTGGTATTGGGAACAGGCCGAGCGAGAGTCCGTCAGGATAGTGTGTGAGGTGGGATGCGAGGCGGCCAAAGCAATGGCAACCTCCTCAGCTTGCGTCAATATTGGCTCTAAAGGAGAGGCCATCGATGTGTTTTCGCTCTGTGATCAATGCGCTCGGCAGAAACCAGAGATCTATGCAGTTCCCTGCACTGTTTCGGGACGCTACATCTGCACATGGCTTAGCATAACTGACGCCCGGCTCTTAGTGACCTACTACACAGGGCAGCAGGCTAACATTCCGGTTGTTCCTTCCAAATACTGAGAAGACTTAAGAGGACCCAGCGGCTTTAGTCTCATACCTCATGATCTTTTCAGGACCCCCCTTCCCCAATCACTTGCAATAGCAGGGGCTCAGATAAGGCATTCCGCATTGGAAATTTTTTGTCATGATTCCTTAAATGAAGTGAGATACTTTGTTTTGTTTAGCAGAGAAACAGATGGGGAATGTGTAAATATTTATAGCCAAAATTCCTTTTGGACATTTCTGTAGCGAGTGTCAAAACTTCAAATGCGATTTTCTCAGCTTCACATTTTTTTTTTGCCAATCAGACTAGCTCTATGTAACTTTTTGTTATGTTTTTATGTGGAAATTGCAATAAGTTTTGTTATGTTAACTAGTAAGTAATCAAACTGTGGAGCCATGTTATGTTTTTATGGCTTAGTTGGAAATATCAAAATTTATGAACAATAGTGTAAGCTAAATGCATTTAAAGGGGCCCTGAAACACTTTTTGAGGTACCATGGAATAAATTCACTGGAAAAGCGTTTTACCTCACGCCGCAAAAGTTTTGAGAATTCGTTTACAAAGATTTGTCACCCGCTGCAATCACATTCTTTTCTCTCGTCTCGATGAAAGAGCTGGAAGCTGAGCAGGGAGGGATTGGAAGGGCAAACAAAAAACTTTACTCGCGCCTCGTCATTTTGAGCATTTTTTTTTTTCTTCGAATACGTGGCTTTTTCAGTGCGATCGCGCTCACGCACGCGTGGACAAGTGACAGCCTTTTACGGTGACCTCTGTAACAATCGAGACGCATGTTCAAATCAGCCAATGGCTGATAGATGGGCTTACTGGGCTTATTTTGCGTGATTCGTCGAGAGAAGAGAAAGCTATTTTTAGGTGACTTTGATAATTTATTGTGAATTCCAGGCCGTGTGCTGCGCTGTAATATTTGGCTCGCGTGTTGTCGGGAGCCTCTACTACTGATCGGCTGCGTTTCCTGACCATGCTGAAAAAGTGTTGCAGGGCACCTTTTAGAATTGGGAAGGATCAACACAATTGAACATTGATATAGGGTGGTGTATATCAATATCAATAGCATGGCTCCACATGGCATATTCTTGGCTACTGCTTCGTCTTAACCAGAACCAAGAAATAGTAAGGGAAAGTGTCTGAAGGGAGGACGCAGGTCTTCGAACAACCAAAAATTGGCCAAAAATAATTTTTTGCTAAACATATGTTTGGGTCGTTTGTTCTTCTTAGCACCTACTCTCAAATGACTGGCGCTAAATTACTGGCAACAGAGTTCCCTTTAGTGTACTTATGGGAAACTATGTTCGCCAGTGCTCCGAAACTTTGTCTAGACAACCAGGGGTAAAAATAATGGGTGGTTGAATAGTGCTCGAGGGCCCCTTTAAGAATACTGGGTTATGCTGCTGCGTCGGGTTTTTTTCTCTAATATTCTGTCCTTTTTTGATGCAGGCACAAAGCATGATCTTCAACAAAGTTTGCTACGAAGGCTGCATGGGGAATCCAGACGGCACCTTGAGGGTAGAGATTTTCGTGCCTTCTAACCAGGTTGGCCGCATCATTGGCAAAGGCGGACAAACGGTGAGTCACCAGTTGCTCTTAGATTCGAGGTGCCATTTTCGTTGTGGATTTAGCTTTTTCAGATGCTGTGTCCACACTTGTGTACACCACTCGTTTTCGTTATTTGCATCAAGTAGAGGCTAAGATACGGTATGATATGTCGTACATTAGATTAATTGAACCTTCTGCATGATTGTCTTCATTTGACCTCATTTTGCAGCGTACTAATACTTATGATCACTTTTCTGAAGGCACTACCACGTTTGACGAGTCGTGCGATGTGCCGCTTCCTGCAAGCAATGTGAATAGCAGAAATTTTTCTTGCTCGCAATTGACATAAACAAAATAAATTTGCACTGTATTTCTAGCCTGAGATTTGATTCTATGTATGCCTAAAGCAAGTATCAATGACTTTAGGATGAAGAGATATTTAATTGGAACCTAATTAGAACGAGTTACTATGACACATAGATTCAACGATTATCTCGTTATTTGTTGCAGTAGAATATTGAGTGCCTTCAATTGACGTGGTGGTTCGACACATTTACAGACATTTCTTAATAGTTTTCATCTGAAAGGGTTATGAGTGTGTGTGTGTATGCTCTGCATTGTATCATAATGATTTCACCTTATCATGTAAATCCAAATGACGTTGTAAAAAAAAATTTAAATATGTAGTGGTGGTCTTTGCAACACTGATGCAACAACACTGATGCACTGATGGGGATTGCTTATGTAGTTAGATTACCTACCTTTTGCTTCTGCATGTGAACTACAGTCGACTTACGATAATTTAGGCTGATAATTCATAATATCGGGTACTTCAAACAAAATTCAATGTTTTGGTTGGTCCTTTGTCTTTTCAATGTATTTAAAAACCTCCTAATTGAAACTCTATCCTTCAGGTAATTCATACTTTTTGCGGTTTTATATACCAAAAAATATCTTCTGGTTTCCCACCACTTTTTTAAAAGAATGCGTGCTTATATAATCCTAATGGTCTAAAAATAAAAAATTAGCCCCTCAGCCTTTCAAGAAAAAAGGCTTTGCTAGAAAAGTAAGGTTCGAAATGTAGCACACGCATGGTAAACCGTGGTGCTTCTCAACTGGTGTAGAGAGCTTTGTGCTGAAGGCGCATACCTATAGCAATGAAGCAGTTGGCAATTCACAATTTCTTGAAAAGGTCTGATCAGCAGTAAATGTCCAATAAAATTGTGGACCTGACACCTCCGCTTTCTGGTCATTGCGTGCAGTGAGGGTTTGAAAATGCCTTACCGTAATTACTCGAATCTAACGCGCACCTTTTTTCCGGTTAAGCGAGTTCATAAATCGCATGCGCGTTAGAATCGAGTACGAACGAAAAAATTTCGGCCAATCTATTGCCATCGCAAATCCAAAATGGCCGCGCCCTACGTGCGTCGGCTATTTCTGCCTATGTGTTTACCATGTGCGGCACTTCGTACGTGTGCTGACGAGTTCGTCATCTAGTAGTGCATTAGCATCGACGACGTGAAAGGGCCGACTCCAAAAACTCGAGTGCACCACGATGCCGCTTTTAAAAGAAAAGTCATCGCGTGTGCAGAAACGGACGGAAATCGGGCCGCATCGCGGTCGTTCCCGAAACGTGCGTGCGGGACCGGCGGAAACAAAAGCAGAAGATTGTCGACAGCAAAGCTTCACGCAAAGGCTTCAGTGAACCACAGCAGGGTCTGTTTCCGCAAATTAAAGAGCTGCTCCGCGAGTATGTGCTAGAGGAGCGAGCGGCACAGCGGCCCGTGACGACAGAACTGCTCCAAGTGCGGGCTATGCAATTAGTCTTAGAAAGAAGTCTAATGCGGAGCCAGTTTAAAGCGAGCAGGTGCTGGCTAATTAACTATATGAAGAGGAAAGGCTCTTTCCTCCAGAGGGGAACATGCATATGCGAAAAGTTTTGCGGAGAAGTACAATGAAAAGCTTTAGTTTTCAGAGGTTCGTCCTAAACTTGCGGCGCAACAACGGCTGCCTGCTTGGGCAAATCTAGAATGCTGATCAGACGCCTCTTTACTTCGACATGCCTGGCACCACAACTGTCGAGAAGGGGGCGAAGCAAGTTCCCGTGCTGACATCGGTCCACGGTAAAACTACAGTGACGGCAATGCTCTGTTACACGTCAGATGGGCACAAGCTTCGCCCGTACCTCATATTTAAATGGAAGACAATCCCGAAAGGAATCGTTTTTTCGAGTGGTGTGATCGTGCGGGCCAGCGAAAAAAAATGGGTGCGCGTTGCAATCGATGTCTTACGTTTTTTCTTTTTTTTTTTTTCGCGGTGGAAATCGGGTGCGCGTTACAATCGAGGGCGCGGTAGAATCGAGTAAATACGGTAAGTCTTTTAATGTGATAAAATCGATGTATAACCATAGGGGGGTGTCACCTCACCTAGAGAACTTCTGATAATTCAAACAAATTCCTAAGGTTCCTAAGTTTCGCAAGTCGACTGTATGGGGGGGGGGGGTACGAATGTTTGAACTTGATGCACATATTTTTCTTTATTTGAAGAGCTGAGTACTCGAAAAAATTAGAATAGTCGAACAAACGTCGATATAAAAATTTACCCATTCCTCTTTCTAAAATAACATAAAGGTAAAGCATCTGTTAGATTACATGGTAGTATTTCACGATTACTGAATGTTATCGCTCGTTGCAGTTGCGCTGTATTTCCTACAATTGGTGATGGTTTACTGTGTGTATGAGTTGAACATCTTTCCTGCTCTATTTTAAAATGCCTTACCTCATGCATATCCAGGTGATAGGAGTGGTTTCGTGGTCACCACGTTTTATTTCGCAGCTCTCTCTACAACGTGTGTTCTGCTCTTACACTCTGTAAACAGATAAAAAGAAAAAATAACTTTCAAGGGGGCTACACGGTGTCCGGATGCTTCTAAAAAGAAAATGCGATGTTTAAGTCACGCACTGCATAAGGAAGATAAAGGTGTTCTTTTCTTTTTCAGTTTCAGCCTGGTAGCTAAAGTGGTTACATTGTGAGCATGTTAAACAGTTCATTTTTCAGCATGTTAATGTTTAATTAGTGCATTCAAAAGGTATCCTAATCAAGCCTCGACAAGTTGCAGCTTTATGACAGGTAGTTTTGTTTACACAACTTTTTTTGGGAGAGCTGTACAAATAGCAAAATTTTTGGTGCAAAGGGAATTCGAATATCGAAGTATTGGTGGAAATTGACATCAATATTTTTCTAATATTTCTCAAATACTTCGAAGCAAAATTGCAGAAAAAAAGTTTGAGATAATTCCTAAGGGTATTCTTAAGTGGAGGTGCTCCTCGAAAAACTTTTTCTTCAGATATTTGTGACAGCTCAATGAAACTTTCACCAGTTATAGAGTTGAAGCTCCTCTTTTCTAATCTGCTTTTATTTTTTTCTTGGTTCATTTAGTTAATTTATTGCAGACCATGCATTTGTAAAGAAAAATGCATTCTTGTCCAAGCTTAGGCAACAATAGTAAGCACAAGAAAGCTCTGAAAGATAGCAAATGTTGCTCCTAATGAATTGCAGAATTCAATAAAGCAAAGAAACGTGTAACATTTGTGTGCTGGCCTAGAAAACAATTCTAATGCTGAATTTGAGTTTTACCATACTCAAGGAACAAGCTTCCGAAATGATCCAGCTGAATGTGCTCAGGAGACCTCTGAAAGTTGTTTATTTGAATTCAAGACATGGTAAACTTTAAGCATGCCAAGTTTCATTGCAATCTGACTACGTAAAGCGTACAAATTATAGTGCACAAGATCTAAAAATGCCGAAAAATGAGGAACTGAGAAAAAGCGGTTTGAAAGTTCAAAAACATGTTCAATACTATACTCTTCAACCAATCTGCATGAAATTCGCAGAGAATGCGAGCAAAAGCTATCTTGAAAAAGTTGAGTTTCAGAAGCACTATATATGGGACCCTTACAGTCTCTGCAAGCTGTCTCCTCCCGACGGGCATTTTTTTTTTTTTTTTCGGTATTGCGGCGATGGGTCGTTGCTCTCGGGCTCATTCGAGGTTTGGGCAGCAGTATGCACCATTTTTTTTTTTCATTTCGAATGGCAGTTCTTGTGACGCACCAGTTTTTTTTTAAACACCAATGATTGCACAAAACCCGCACAAGCTGCTCGTGTCCGACGCCCATGGCACGCGGTGCGACCACCGACTTCACGCTCACAGCGAAGCTGTCCCGTGCACTGCCGCTGGCAAACGTCTCCTCGCTTCCACTGCATGACGGACACACGCGGCTCGACGCATACGTGGAAGAAAGAACAGTTGCAGCGCATGCGTCATTTCGGCGCTAAAGTCCCGAAAGCGATGCCAGTCCTTATCGTCTACTTAACATTACTCAAATAGACAGCTCGCACCGCCCGCAGTTGGAGCATACTGCGCCACTGACAAGGTTCTGCATTGCATCAGTCTCACAAATAAATGTGCTTCCGCGTTCGTCCTGACACTTGCTTTAGTCGTCGGACATCTTTATCTTTCACTCTGAAGCGCTGACGAAGTCATCGACGGTAGGAATAAAGCTCGAACAATCCAAATCGGATGCGTCGCTGCTGCTGCGGCTAGGCCTAGCAGCAGACGGACCTCTCGCCGGCGCTCACTGTTTGCGTTTGTGGTGATTTCCTTCGTACTGGTGCCGCGCAAATGAACTTCCGTGACCGAAAGTAGCGTTTCTCGGCGGCATCCATGGCGCGGAAATAATACCGTAATTACTCGAATCTAACGCGCACCTTTTTTCCGGTTAAGCGAGTTCATAAATCGCATGCACGTTAGAATCGAGTACGAACAAAAAAATTACGGTCAATCTATTGCCATCGGCAAATCCAAAATGGCCGCCTCCTACGTGCGTCGGCATGGCGCGTCGGCCATTTCTGCCTATGTGTTTCCCATGTGCGGCACTTCGTACGTGTGCTGAGGAGTTCGTCATCTAGTAGTGCATTAGGATTGACGGCGTGGAAGGGCCGACTCCAAAAACTCGAGTGCACCACGATGCCGATTTTAAAAGAAAAGTCATCGCGTGTGCAGAAACGGACGGAAATCGGGCCGCATCTCGGTCGTTCGGAGTTCCCGAAACGTGCGTGCGGGACCGGCGGAAACAAAAGCAGAAGATTGTCGACAGCAAAGCTTCACGCAAAGGCTTCAGTGGACCACAGCAAGGTCGGTTTCCGCAAATTAAAGAGCTGCTCGGCGAGTATGTGCTTGAGCAGCGAGCGGCACAGCAGCCCGTGACGACAGAACTGCTCCAAGTGCGGGCTATGCAGTTAGTCTTAGAAAAAGGTCTAATGCGGAGCCAGTTTAAAGCGAGCAGGTGCTGGACAACTAACTTTATGAAGAGGAAAGGCTTTTTCCTCCGAAGGGGAACATGCATATGCGAAAAGTTTTGCGAAGGAGTACGATGAAAAGCTTCACAGTTTGCAGAGGTTCGTCCTAAACTTGCGGCTCAACAACGGCTGCCTGCTTGGGCAAATCTAGAATGCCGATCAGACGCCTCTTTACTTCGACATGCCTGGCACCACAACCGTCGAAAAGAAGGGGGCGAAACAAGTTCGCGTGCTGACATCGGTCCACGGTAAAACTACAGTGACGGCAATGCTCTGTTACACGTCAGATGGGCACAAGTTTCGCCCGTACCTCATATTTAAATGGAAGACGTTCCCGAAAGGAGTCGTTTTTTCGCTAGGTGTGATGGTGCGGGCCAGCGAGAAAAATGGGTGCGCGTTGCAATCGATGTCTTACTTTTTTTTTTTTTTTTTCGCGGTGGAAATTGGGTGCGCGTTACAATCGAGGGCGCGGTAGAATCGAGTAAATACGGTGACTCCTGCTGTTGTGTTCGTCGATGTCGCGGTGAAAGCAGGAGAAGGAAGAAAGTGCTCGCATCCGACTGCGCGGCGGAATGCTCGCAACCAATGGCAGGGCTCCGATCATACCACGCGATTTCAAAGGCCCAGTCGCCACGCTAAAATGCTGTGGGAAAACGATTTTTTGTGGTATTTTTAGCGTGAATGCAGCTTTGCCGAAGTGGGCTCTGGGAAAAGAGGGTTAGGCCTACATGCACGCAAAATTTCAAGAGCTGGCGATGTCGTAGAGCGAAGTGTTGCATGCGTGAAAATCGGGTAACTTCACACTTTCACGAGCCACTGCGAGTGCTTTAATTGTATTTTTCGATAACTTCTAGCTGATTCTCAGGTTCGAATTTTGAATATATTAAGGAGAAGGCTTGGAGGAATACAAAACGCAAGAAAACACAAAATCGACTTTTTCGAAAAAAATCGCGGTTTTTCAACTCGCATCTCCCTTAAGTGAGATAGTACCATGAAACTCTCTCTTTTGTCTAGGTGGTGTTTCACAGTTGTCTTATCAAATGAGGCAATGTAGAGGTACTTGCATATGTGATTTGTCGCAACCAAAGTGTTACTGACAACACTTTGCACGCGGAAAGCAAAGACGCTACTTTCTCAGCCTCTCTATTGTTTCAACTTTTTTGAAAGCCAAATTGATGTGGTGGACATGGACAAGCATGTGCTCCGGTCGAGTTAATAGAGATCTACCTCATAGACGTCAATGTGAATTTGAAGTGCTTGAAATGCTGAAACTCTCTGCCATTCACTTGCTCGAACCGTGTGCACAAATTTCGGGTTTGAAGCGGCTTTACTTGAGCCCCCACCTCTGCTGCCTGTATCATATCCATGTTAGAAACAGTTTTTTCAGTCAGTACAGTTGAAGCCTTAGAATTTGCAAGGCAGCTTTGTCGCAGTGCCAGAATGTGATGGGTGAAGCATATAGGAAATCTGAAGGGGCTGCTGTCAAGTGGACGTTTACTGTGTTTTCGGGAAGTTCGAATAGTTTGAATAGTGATATTCCAGTGCATATTGAATCAAATAGCAAGAACTATTAGAAAAATATTGGAAATTGTGAATATCAGTTGAACATCACATGTCCTTATTGCAGCCTGTGAAGAACATTGTGGATTGATCAGAGGTTTGCTCATTGCAAGCGTTTTGTTTGTGGCAGGTCCGAGAGCTTCAGCGGCTGACCCGTGCACTCATCAAGCTGCCCGAAGAGAGCCAGAACGCCAACACTGAGGAAACGCCAGTGCATATTTTGGGCGACTTCTTCAGCACTCATGTGAGCATTTTTTTTGTCACCTCCTTTGTTAGGAATAGTACCGTAAAAACTAATATAGGTCGGACAGAAATATAGGTCATCCCCCTCTCTCACCCAAATTTGAATCTCCAAAAAAGAAATTAAAAAAATAGCTAAGTATTGCGGCACAGCCTTACCTTGATAATTATGCAACACAACCATCTGCAGCAGTGATGTTACCATTGACGTTAGTAATGCTGACGTTACATATTGGGTGAAGTGATTTGTTGCTTGCGACGAAGCACAGTGCAGTTAATCCGCTAGCCTGATGTCTTTGCCAACGGAGTTTGCATTCGTCTCGTATCTGTGCCATGAGTGGAGCTAGCTAGGCATAGGCCATGGTGTCAAAAAAGTTAGGTGATGACACTGCACCCGGTGCCGCATCCAGATTGTGTTCGCCACCTGGGCTGTTTACGTTTGACGCGACAGATAGCGCTTGCGTAGGGTAGGCCAAGGCATTGATTGATATGTGGGGTTTAACGTCCCAAAACCACTATATGATTATGAGAGACGCCGTAGTGGAGGGCTCCGGAAATTTTGACCACCTGGAATTTTTAACGTGCACCCAAATCTGAGAACACGGGCCTACAACATTTCTGCCTCCATCGGAAATGCAGCCGCCACAGCCGAGATTAGATCCCACGACCTGCGAGTCAGCAGCCAAGTACCTTAGCCACTAGACCACCGTGGCGGGGCAGAGTAGGCCAAGGCAACTGGTGAATGACTCGATCTGGGTGTAGAAGGTTATTGCTATGGAGCCTCGCTTGATGTACGCTGATTACACTTGATAGATGTACATGGATGTCAATAAATCAATACATTGTGACTGTTGTTTGATTTTCTAATTTATACGAAATTAATTTCTTAATTTTATGTACAACCTATTTGCTAACATTGTTTTTGCGATATAAATGCACCGACAGCAGCGAACGTTGGCCTGTGGAAAGTGGTTGCATTGTGATGCGAACTCACTAAAAATCTCGTTTCGGTAAAATTCTGGCATTGGCATCTTTGGTTCAGAACAAAAAAAAAAAAATGGCGTTGACTGGAGAGAAAATTTGAGGTGTTTGCAATAAGGATAGCAGCCCGAGGGAAAAGGCACATTACCTATTAGGAAGGTGATAGTCTGTGTGTGTGTGTGTGTGTGTGTGTGTGTGTGTGTGTGTGTGTGTGTGTGTGTGTGTGTGTGTGTGTGTGTGTGTGTGTGTGTGTGTGTGTGTGTGTGTGTGTGTGTGAGAGAGAGAGAGAGAGAGAACATGCGGATATCACTGTCTGGTTCTGTTGCTCAGCAAAATGAACGAAAAACTTCGTCAGAAAACTTTCAACTAATGTATCAGGAAATTTACCCTCATAATATGGAGAACCTAAATTAATTAACCCACTACCCTTGGCATTCTTACTGTTAACTTCGTACAGATTTCGGCCTCTGGCAGTGTACGCAGCATGATAGGGTGGGAAAACTTCATTGGGTCCCAAAAGTTGACCCTGTTAGGCTAGTGCCATCAGCCAATCTTTGTGCTATTAATAATTATTAGGCCATGCTAATGAGACACTGTAAGCGAGTGCACTACCTAAAGCAGTATATCTTGTGCAGCTTGACCCTTACGCCACCGACATGAGACAAACTATCATATTCTGCGTTTGATGAGGCATCTAGAGATATCAAAGGCCTTCGAATCAATAATGAAAAGGTGCTGTGTCACAAGTACTGCGGTCCGCAATGCGCTTGCAATGTTGCAAGACGGTGACGATGAAGCATTGGAGACCTTTAAAAAACGAGAAAGTCTGGCATCAAACATGGCAAACTAATTAAAATTACGAGGGCTGCATCACAAAAATAGTATGTACCATGGTTTCTGTTTACTGGTTACTCTACATTTAAGGTTGTTTGGTCGAAATAGGCATAGATCAGGCAGCAAAAAAAAAAAAAGAAATCTGGCTTCTTGATTTGAAACAAGAAATTACTTTTCCCACGTAAAGACCCGAGTCTGTATCGCATAGGCCCACACTATCAGTGTTGCGTTGAGAAGCATCCTCCTCTTCACCTGGAGCAGGCCAGTTGCTGTCACAGCGCTACCTTTTGCATGCTTGCCTGTTGATTCATCATCATCACACTGTGGAGAAGCTGTCTCTACGCGCAATAAATTTCGTGTTCTTTCAGCGGTCGTGTCAGGCACTTCAGATGCAGTTGAACCGTTTGGCCCCCGTCGCTTCCAAGTTGGCAATAGAGCCAGCCGTTTTCGTTGAACTTTCCTGTTTGTGCTATACAGTCAGGTATTTTGGACAGCCTGGTAAGATTGCAGGCTCAGCATCTGAAGTTAGCCTAGATTTCAGTGCATGCAAAAATTTGGGGGACCTTTAAGGGGAGAGGTGGCATTGAGAAAAAACTTTTTTATTTGTTGACCTACAGCAATGAAATTTGGCATGCACACTCGCAAGTGTCTGGAATAGGGAAATATGCAGTTTCATCATGATAGCTTCAGTAGTTCTCAAGTTACATAGTGCTACACGATCCAATTACATGGTCTGCTCGTGGAAAGCCTAGCGCTGCAACAAAACATGCCAGGAAGCTGCGAATGGTGTTTATCTTTACTCAAAACAAAGCTACAGGGTATGGCACTCTCAGATTTTTTTAATAAGTTCTCTTTTTTTTTTTTTTGAGATCATCATGGCTGCCGACACACATTGTCAGAAACAATGGCATGGACAAATCATCGTCTAGAAAAATAACAGGGCCACAAAACAGAAATTGAAGATTGCTGTACCCACAAGCAGTGTTCAGGGATTCAGGAAAAAAAAACAATCAAAATCAGTCCAGTCATTCTCGTGCTACTCTTTCCACGAGCAATGCACAATGTCCAAAACACACTTGTGAGAAAAAGCCTGTCGAAGTTTTCGACAGGCTTTTTTCATTGAACTATTTTGTTTCTCGTTGGATATTGGCACAGACACTAAGAATAACCTCACAGTGCTTCCATAAAAATTTTGAATCGATACCACAAATACTTTACGAGAACAAATTATTTCTTCATTGAACCATGTTGAGGGGCTGAGCATAATGTCAAAAAAAAAAAAAAAAACAGTATTGAGGAAGCTGCGTTAAAAGTTTCAACTTTTCTTTACGTCTCTAAGACACCTAAAAATTGTAATCTCAGGTTTGTCTTGTGATATTTGACTTCTTTTCATGATTTACTCCTTTTCATGATTTACAAAGGACAAGTATGGATTTCAAACCAAGTTCTTTGTATGAAGAAGTGGTGTGATAGGTAGGACAGAAAGGATTGTAATTGAATAAAATCATATACTGAAATTATAACACATACATTTTTTGTGCTGAAGTAGTAATTAGCATAATTAAGCACTTGATTACATATATTCACTGAACTTTTCTTATTTGGAGAGAGGTTTATTGCATCATAAAAATGGATCACACCATGACGGCTTATGCCTTCTTTCTAAATAACAAAGTTATGGGCAGAAGACTGGTGGCACAGGAATTTCTAGCAGTATAATTAATGACACGAAACGGGCATATAAAAATTCGTGCCCCTGATTCACACATGCTCTTTCGCCGCTCTAGCCGTGAAACGCATCATCATACAGCCGGTCGCGAAAACTCTAATCTACAGCAATTCATTAACCTCGGAACATTCATAGACGTTCGTGGCGATATCAAGCACGGCTCCAAGCACGTCTGAATCGCATCACAAAAGCTTACTGACAGCACTCCATATGACCGTGGAGTGCGCGGCCGCCTGGACAGTGCAGCCGGCGCGTAATGCACTTGCCGGCGGCGTTTGATGACGATGTGCGAAATGTGTAACTACGAAGACAAAAAATCGGCACACACTGCACTTGGCATCGCATTTTCGAATGACGACGCGCGAAACTGCTCGCCGCTGTTCCGAGCGATCCTTGGCAGTGAAGGGGGGGGGGGGGGGGTGACGAGCTGGACTGTGTTGTCCGCTGCCGATGCATAAAATACCCGTACGAGATTCAGAGGAGCTAGCGAGTAATGTGGTACATTCCTTGCGAAGAAGCACATCGCCAAGAGTGCGCTTGCGCGTTGTTCATGCCCGTAGTCTTGCTGTCAGCGGAGTTAGGCCTAAAGCCGACTTCGTTGACGCGCCGCACTCGTAGACCGCCGTGCGCCCGCTCGTAGTAATCAGATCGTGCCGCCACTTACAGCTTCGTTGCTTGCGAAGAAGCACGTCACCACGAATGCGCTAGCGCGTCGTTCCTGCCCGCAGTCTCGCTGCCGGCGGAGTTAGAGCTAAAGACTACTCCGATGACGCGCGGCGCTCGTAGACCGCGCTCCCGCTCGTAGTAACCTGATCGCACATCCGCTTACTGCTCGTAACTAAAGCGTAGTTATATCTTAAGTGATTATCAAGCCATGAACACGTCACGAAGTGGCAATTTTCGAGAGCCATGTCCTCGTGACGCACAAGCAGCAGACGACGATCTCCCGGAGCGAGCATCGGGCCAATGGCGAGGCGAGCTGAGGCAACATGGCGGCCACGGCCAATCAAGGGCCTCAAAACGACCTTTAAACATTTGCTTTTTGCTCGCTTGTTGTTAAAGGGAAGAGCCAGCTGAGGCGGGAAAGGTAAACACGGTGAAATGATCTTTCCGATGAGCCCAAGAAGCCTTCTCCCGGCCCAAGCGTCGCGAAGCTATAATTTTTTGAAAATCACCGTTTTCTCGCCATTTCCAGAAAAAGTTTTGGCTACACAGGTGGGTGAAACGAATTTTCCGAAGCACTTCTGCGCGGTTTTGAGTGTAGATATTTTGGAACCAGATAGAAAAAGGGTTCCAGAAACTGAAAACTTGAGTTTCAAAAAATAGATTTTTTTGCCATTTTTCGCGATCCCAAAGCCGCGTCCCCCCTTTAGGGGAGACACCCCTCTAACAACTTTTTTTTATTTATAGTCACTGACACTTGAAAAATTTGTTATGCTTATAGTTTTTCATGGAGATTT